AGCAAGCATGTTAAAGTGTGTGTGCATGTGAGCTACCATGTGTATGTGTGTGACCATAAGTGCATGTGTGAGTGTGAAGTGAGTGTGAGTGTGTTATAATCAGTATAGTCAGTATGGATGTGAAGTGTGTGTTAGCATAGTGGTGTGAGTGTTAGTAGGATGAGTGTGAATTGGGTGTGAGTGTGTTAGTATAGTGTGTGTGAAGTGTTAGCACGATGGTGTGAAGTGGGTGTGATGTATTAGTATAGTGTGTGTGAAGTGTTAGCATGATGGTGTGAAGTGGGTGTGACTGTTAGTATAGTGTGAAGTGTTAGCATGATGGTATGAAGTGGGTGTGCATGTGTTCGTATAGTGAGTGTGTGAATGTGTGAGTACATGTGAGTATGTTTGAGTGTGCATGTGAGTGAGCATGTGTTAAAGTGTGAGTGTGTAGGTGTGTAAATGTCAGTACACATGTTGTTTATGAGTGCATGAGTGAGCGTGTATGTGAATGTGGGTGCGTGTGCATGTGAAGTGTATGCACACTGAGTGTGATGTGCATTTGAGTGTAGAGTGTACATGTGTGACTGAGTTTGAGGACGTCAGTTGACTGCATGTAAGTGAGCAAGTATAGGTGTGTGTGAGCAGGACTGTATGTGTGCATGCGTGTGAGTGTGGTCATGCAGACTGTGCATGAGCATGTGACAGTAAGTGCATTTATGTGAATGTGAAGTGGATGCGAGTGTGCATGTGAGCATGTGGAGTGTGCATGAGTGTGACTGTATAGGAGCATGGCAGTGCATGTGCATTCATGTGAGTGTGAAGTGTGTGTATGTGTGCATGTGGAGTGTGAGTGCGATGGTGTGTGCACACACCAAGGAGTGAGTATGCATTCGTGTTAGTGTGAGTGTGTATGCGTGTGAGTGGAGTGTGCCTGAGTGTGAGCATGCATCTATGTTAGTGTGAAGTATGTGCGTGAGTGGAGTGTGCCTGAGTGTGAGCATGCATTCGTGCTAGTGTGAAGTGTGTGAGTGTGTGCAGGTGAGTGTGTAAACTGAGTATGACAGCAAGTGTGCATTTGTGTTGGAGTGTGCAGCTCTGTTTGTGTGTGTGTGTGTGTGTGTGAGAAGGAGCGAATGCGTGTGCGTCTACAGCTCCAGGGAGAGGAACCCCCACCCTGGAGTGTCTGACTGCCCCTGCTGCACCCCTGACCTTGGCAATGAGAGTCTCTGTCTTCAGTGAGCGCCCTAGAAGTGAGTGGGTCATGGGACCCCGCGTGTGCCCGAGCTGTGCGTCCGTGGGTGTGGGGAGTCTCCACGGGTTGGCTGAGCGCGGCTGTGAGTCTGAAGTGGCATTGGAGGCTGTGGTTGTGTAACCGCGAGGGAACCTGGGCTGTGGGTGAGGGCATGACAATCCCCGTTTGGTGGAGGAGGTGGGATGGGTGGAGAAAGGGGGCGGTGTGGAGGAGGCGGGAGGAGCTGTTCACAGCTGTGCCAGCCATGACCCAAATAGCTCAGAACACATTCCCCTGCCTGCTTTTCAGGGACCCTCCCCTTCTTATAAACCTCTTGCATCCTCAGCCCCGTTTGGGGGGGGGAGGGAGGAGTGGGCTTCCTAGGATAGATCCAAGGAGTTCAGGCACTAGAAGCAGGATCCAAGACTCTTTCCAGGGCTGCTGATCCCCCCCACCCCAATTCCCAGCTCAACCAAGCCTTTCTCCTCATTAATCTCAAAGTCAAAGAATTGAATTAAATCGGGTCAGGGGACAGTTCTTCCACTCAGATTGGAGCGGATACAGGCAGGGCCCCCTTCCTTGGGTACCCCAGCTTTTGTAATGGTTTCACACCAGACCCTTCCTCCAGGATCTACTTCTGTAATCCCCAGATCCCCAAACCCCACCTCATCTTTGCGCCCCCCTCCACTACAGCGCCCTGATCCACTGCCCATCTGTCCTGGGACGGCTGGGTGTTTTTTCTTCCAAACCCTCCAACCTTATTTCCCCAGCCTCCCGCCCCTCCCACTTCTCATTTCAGGCTCTCAATCCCACCCAAGAACCGGGCCACCCCGTGGTCTTTTCCTCTCCACCATAACCACCTCCTGCTGTCTCCTGGGTCCCACCTTAACTGGGGCATATTTACCTGCTCTGATCTAATGCGGAAGAGGGCATCTTTCAGAACATAGGCGCAAGGACCTATCTCTCCCGTCCACCCAGAGACCCTGGAGGCTGACACCCCCGTCAGCTCTTCTCTCTCTCATAGACCCAGGAATCAACGGCCCCCAGAACCCTCTCTGTTCCAGGACTCAGGGGTCCGGATCCCCAGAAGGTATTTAAGGAGCTAGGGGTGCCCGTCTCACGGGAAATCTCCAGGTATACCCCAGGCTCCTCCTTCCGCAGACACCCCAAAGTCAGACCCTGGCCCTCACCCCCTGGGAACACAGGAATCTAGCATCTAGTCTCCTTCTCCCTTGGGACCCAGCGGCTTTGGCCCCTCAGCGCTGACCCCCCAGGACCCTGCACCCCGTCCCACCTGCTGGTATTCTTGCTCTTGGGGCGCAAAGTCGCTGGGCACCGGGCGGAGCTGGAAGTCAGCGCGGGGCAGCTGGTGAAGGAGATGAACCCAAGCTGAGGGTCGGTAACCCGGGGGCTCCCCCATGGCCCCCCGGGGAGGGGGCAGCGGGGCCGACGCCGGGGCTGTGGGCGCCTCCGGAGTCGAGCAGGGCGCGGGCGGAGCGGGGTCTGGCGGGGCTCTGGGGAGCGGGGGGGGGGGGGGGGGGGGGGGGGGGGGGGGGGGGGGGGGGGGGGGGGGGGGGGGGGGGGGGGGGGGGGGGGGGGGATGGGGGGCGGAGATTTGGGGGAGGCGGAGAGGGGAGAGGCGCGGGCCGGGCGGGGACAGTGCTGCCCCTGGCGGCCACAGGGGGGACTGCAGGCGCCTAGAGTAGATGGATGGGGGAAGCCAGGTCTCCTTCCTCACTCTTGTGGGTGCCTGCTCTCCGTCACCGCTCCCACCTCCATCACAGCTCCTACCACGGGGCTCCCGTGGGCACCCAGAGAGACGTCTGTAAAGCGACTTGAAGATATCAGCCTTCCTTGTTTATAGAAAGCCTCTCGTGCTATGCTAGGAGGACCCTTACAGGCAGAGCAGGGTTTCCGAGTAGGAAAAGCCCTGGACTGCAAACGTCAAGGTTGGAGATTCAAACTCAACAGTCGCCTTGGAAACCCTATACAGGATCTGAGTGTGGTGCTGTAGGGTAAGCACTGGACTGCTAACCACAAAATCCCTGGTTCAAACCCACTAGCTGCTCTTTGGAAACCTTGTATAGGGTGATGATCAGTCTGAAAGACTCCATGGTAATGAAACACAACAATGAATCGGAAGCACTTTAACAACAACAACAATAAATCTTTATAGGGGCAGGCAGCTTCATCTTTCACCTGCAGAGTGGCTGGTGGGTGCTAACTGCTGACTTTGCCATTAGAAACCCAACGCTTAACCCACCACGCCACCAGGGCTCTTTTATACTATACTGTTGTTAAGTGCTGTCGGATCGGTTCCAACTTATAGCCACCCTGTATAGGGTTTCCGTGGACAGGCCGGTGGGTTTGAACCACCAAACTATTGGTTAGTGTTAAGTGTGTGTGTGTGAATAGAGGATTCTTCATAGGATCCTATCACCCTAAAACAATATTGCTCCGTTATCTTTATGACGATTCTTCACGTCACGTAAGCCCACTCTGGAGGTCAACTCAAGGCGGCCCTATAGGAATGAGTAGAACTGTCCCATAGGGTTTCCAAGGCTGTAAATCTTTATGAAAAGCAGACTAACTGATCTTCCTACCTCTTGGAGCAGCTGGTGGAATTGAACCGCCGACCTTTTGGTTAACGGCTGAACATCTGCTTAAACACTGTGCCACCAGAGCTCCTTGTGTCCTGTAATAGCTCCTACAGTAGGCATTTTACAAATATTAGCCAGTTGTTGTTAAGTGCTGTGGAGTCGGTTCCGACCCATAGCGACCCTGCACAGGGTTTCCAAGGCTGTAAATCTTTACGGGAGCAGAAAGCCTCATCTTTCTCCTGTGGAATAACTGGTAGTTTCAAACTGCTGACCTTGAGGTTAGCAGCCTGATTCGTAACTACTACGCTACCAGAGAGCACTGTGAGTTAATGCATCAGACTGCAAAGCCATTTGAACTGTAAGGTCGGTGGTTCAAGCTCACCAGCTGCTCCTCAGAAACCCTATACAGGGTCGCTATGGGTCGGAACCAACTCTACAGCAATGAACAATTAGCCAGTTACATCTGTAGAAATTCCTCTTTGCATGCCACAACATGGGTGGGTCTTGAAATCTTCACGCTGAGCGAAATCAAAGCCCACCCGCTGCTGTGGAGTAAACTCCAACTCACGGGACTTTGAAGGCAGTAAATCTTTACAGCAGCAGACCGCCTTCCTTATCTGTCTCCCGCCGAGATGCCGATGAGTTCCAATACTGGCTTTTCCGTTAGCAGCCCAACGCTTAACCCAAAGATGCCACCAGGGCTCCTTTGAATGAACTCAATTAGAAAAGGACAAACACTAAATGACCTCAGTGATATGAAATACACAAATATATGTTGTTGCTATGGCGTCCTGGTGTGGTGTTGTAGGATCAGCACTGGACAGCGAACCACAATGTCGGCCGTTCAGATCCACCAGCTGCTCCTCAGAAACCCTATTCGGGGTCGCTATGAGTTGGAACCACACTTGACAAACAAAACAAAACAAAATGTTGTTGCTAGGTGCCATGGAGCTGATTTCTACATGTTACCCAGTGGAACTGCTCCATAGGGGTCCGTAGGCTACCAATTTGAGCCCTCTAATTATATGACGGTCGGTCTGCTTCTTTAGAGTTTACAGCCTTGGAAACCCAATGGAGCAATTTTACTTTGTCCAAAGATTTGTTGTGGCTGTTAAATTCCATCGAATCGGTTCCCACTCACAGCGACCCTATGTGGGATTTCTGAGGCGTGGCTGTTGGGTTTGAACTGCTATTCTTGTAGTTAGCAGTCCATTGCTGATCCTACAGGACCACACCAGGACTCCTAGGTGGTGTAAACTGTTAATGCCATCAGCTGCTAACAAAATAGTTGGAGGTTTGAGTTCACCTCGAGGCACCTCAGAAGAAAGGCCTGGTAACTGACTTCTAAACAATTAGCAACTGAAAATCCCGTGGAGTCCAGTTTGACTTTGACAGTTGGGTTCAACAGGAGTTGATTGGAAGGCAACTGGTTGTTGGTTTATTGATGTGAATACATTGGAGATTTATCTGCATTGCTGTTTGATAGAAATTCATTGGCTTGTCTTTCTGCCATTGTTTCATGGGTGTGTTTCAGATGGTTACTCCAGGGTGTAGTTTTTCTATTGTGTGCCATCAAGTCGATTCTGATCATTACAACCTTATATGAGATAATAGAACCACCCCATATTTTCAATAACCTCATATGCATGTGAAAGCTGGACAGTGAATAAGGAAGACTGTAGAAGAATTGATGCTTTTGAGTTACGGTGTTGGAGGAGAATATTGAAAGTGCCATGGGCTGCCAAAAGAACCAACAGATCTGTGTGGGAAGAAGTACAGCCAGAGTGCTCCTTGGAGGCCAGGATGGCCAAACTTCATCTCGCATACTTTGGACATATTGTCAGGAGGGACCAGTCTCTGGAGAAGGTTATCATGTTTGGTAAGGTGGAGGGTCAGAGAAAAAGAGGAAGACCCCCAGCGAGATGGATTGGATAAGTGGCAGCATCGATGGGCTCAAGCGTGGCAACAATAGTGAGGTTGGCCCAGGATCGGGCAGTGTTTCGTTCTGCTGTGCATAAGGTCGCTATGAGTTGGTACCGACTTGATGGCACCTAACAACAACAAGGAGCTCTGGTAGCGTAGTGGTTACGAATCGGGCTGCGAACCAGAAGGTCAGCAGTTCGAAACTACCAGCTGCTCCGCGGGAGAAAGATGAGGCGATCTGCTCCCGTAAAGATTTACAGCCTCGGAAACCCTATTCAGGGTTGCTATGGGTCGGAACCGACTCGATGGCACTTAACAACAACAACAACAACAACAACATAAGGTTTCATATGAGCCCTTGTGTGGCACTGTGGGGTAATGCACTACAAGATCAGTTTGAATCGCAAGGTCAGCAGCTCAAGCTCATCAGCCGGTTCTCAGGAACCGAATACGGAATCGTATTGCCAGCACTTAACAACAACAACAATCATCTTCAGGGGAACAGATCACTAATCGTTTTGTCCTGCAGATCCATTGGGTGGGTTCGAGCCACTGACCTTTTGGTTAGCAACCCATGGCTTAATCATTGTGCTACCAGGGCTGTGTGTTGCAGGATTGTTCGTGTTGTTGTTGTGAAGTGCCATCTAGTTGGTTCTGACTCATAGTGATACTGTATAAGAATGACTGGTGGGTTTGAACTGTCGACCTTGGGGCTGAAACTGACCTTGCAGCCCAGCGCATTATCCAGTCATACCAGGACTCCAGTTATTCCAGGGCATATTTCTAGAGTTCTTGGCTGAGGATCATCCCAGTGTCCTCTCAAGCCCCATGGGTGTTAACTCAGGACTTGGGGGGATGAAAACTTTCTGACGACTGAGCAACACCCGGTGGCCACTGTTTCGCTCTAGCCAATACTTAACATGCAACGAGGGATGCAGCATGACCAGACGTTCCAGTTTCCCTAGAGAAGACAGAAATCTGGATATATTTTGAAAAAGTGAAATCCCTCTGCTTTTAAATGTTAAAACGAATTCAAATTAAAAAAAAAAAAAAAAAAAGCCAAATAAAACCTGTCTGTAGGTTGGATCTGGCTGGCTTCCCAGCTCTGGGCTAGCCAGACGCTGGCATGAAAGGGGCAGGAGGAGGGAGTGGGGTCCACTAAGAGCCAGAGATGTGGGAGAGACACCCGAGAGAGGCAGCAGGGCCTCCTCCTCCTCCAGGCTGTCCTCCTGACTGTCCTCCTGACTAGCTGCTCTCCACGGAAGGCAAGGGCAAGTTGTGGCTAAGGACTGCATACAAAACTTCTTAAGACTGAAGCTCTCAGGGACTCACTGGTTTAGCAAAACAGTTGTGACTGTTCCCGGAGAGACTGTTTGGTGACTTCTTAACCCTGTTGTTGTTGTTGTCAGGTGCCATTGAGTTGGAACCGACTTATAGCGACCCCATGCACAGCAGAACGAAACAATGTCTGATCCTGGACCAACCCCACTACCGCTGCCACACTTGACACCATCAATGATGCCACCTGGCTGATCCATGTTGGGGGTCTTCCTCTTTTTCTCTGACTCTCCATCTTACCCAGCATGACATCCTTCTCCAGCGACTGGTCCCTCCTGACAATATGTCCAAAGTATGAGAGACGAAGCTTAGCCATCCTGGCCTCCAAGGAGCACTCTGGCTGCACTTCATGCAAAACAGATCTATTGGTTCTCTTAACCCTAGTTGTTGTTAAAGTGCCGTCGAGTCAGTTGTGACTCATAGCTACCCCGTATAGGGTTTCTGAGGAGCAGCTGGTGGGTTTGAACCGCCGACCTTTTGTTTAGCAGTCCAGTGCAGATCGTACAACACCACACCAGCTCTGGTTGTTGTTAAGTGCCGTCGAGTCGATTCCAACCCATAGTGGTCCTGTATCGGGTTTTCAAGGAGTAGCTGGTGAGCTTGAACTGCCGACCTCGCAGTTCAAATGACTTTGCTGTCTGACTCATTAGCCCACAGCACCTTGGTCTTCAG